TTCTGAGTCTAGCAGATTATTAATCTCACATTAAGGGCGTTTGTGAGGAATTAAAACAATATAACCTATTAATTGCTGATGCAGTAGTTTGGCAGAAGCAATATGAGGATATGAATGTTGTTCATTTTCTGATGGGTTTGAAACCTGAATATGAGTCTATTCACTCTTAGATTTTGAGTGGCTCTAGTCTACCCTCTCTCCTTAAGGTCTTCTCACGCCTACAACGTGCTACCTTATTTAGTGGCTCTTCTGGTATTGATTGTGGTTTGTCCACCAAATGCCCAGCTCTTATTGTTCCTACTGGCCACAGTTATAACTCTCGAGATAACAGTGGTAATTGTGGAGATTGGGGAGGCCAGACTAGAGGTCGTGAAGGTCGATCTAAGTCTCGTTCTTGCACTCATTGTGGTTATGGAGGTCACACTGTTGATTATTGTTGGGACTTGCATGGCAAACCTTCTTGTGCTGCTAATCAAGTTTTCTATCAAGATGACACTTCATCTCTACTTGATCCAGGCTCACGGTCTGAACTCTGAGTTAGTTACTATCATACGAGAGGAATATACTTAATTCATATCTCAATAATAGTCTACTTCATCTTCCACTGCTATCTTTGCCTGCGCTTCCACTTGTTTACTATCAAGTATCGCTTCCATTTGTTTACTATCTTCCACCTGCAGTCTTTGGATCATAAACTTCGGCACTTCTGACCACATGACTAGTTCGTCTAGTGTCTTTTCTACTTACCATTATGTTCCTTCCTCACATAGTGTTACACTTGCTAATGGTACTTCTTCTAAAATTACAAGTTTGGGGACTACTCAATTGAATCCTGATATATCATTATCCTCCGTTTTATTTGTCTGTCAGTTTTCCTTTAGTTTACTTTCCATTAGCAAGGTTATCCACTCTCTCAATTGCCCGGTAACCTTTTATTTTTCTTATTGTGTATTTCAGGATCTCCAGACGAAGAGAAAGATTGGTACAGGGCATAAAGTTGGTGGTCTTTATTACTTTGACCGTGATCCACCTACTCGAGCACTCCAGACCTCTTCTTCTCCATTTCAGTGGCATTGTCGTCTTAGTCATCCCTCCTGCTAGAATCTGAAGCGTTAAGTTCCAAACCTTAGTTATGTGTCGGCTATTTCTTGTGAAGCTTTTCAACTTAGTAAGCATCACCGTGTGTCTTTTTAGTCTAGAGTCAATAATTATGTGTTTAGTCCGTTTGATTTAGTAAATTTTGAAATATGGGTCTAATAAAGAATATTTTATCTAATAAATAACCTTATTTTGTGTTATTTGTGGATGATTATTCTCGTGTGACTTGGTTATTTCTTATGAAAGCTTGTTCTAACTTATTTTCTATATTTGAGACTTTTCGTAAAGAAATCAAAATCCAGTATGGTTGTCGAATTCATATTTTACGTTCTGATAATGCTCGTGAATATGAATCTGGTCCTTTTCAGTATATCTTCATAAAACTAACTTTATTCACCAGACTTCTTGTACTTGTACATCTAAGCAGAATGGTGTCACTAAGCACAAGAATCGTCATCTATTGGAAGTTACTCATGCACTGTTATTCTAGATAAATGTTTCTTATTATTTTTGGAGTGATTTTGTGCTCAATGTTTGTCACCTTATTAATCGTATGTCATCCTCTATGTTAAATGGTCAAAGTCTATTTTATATCTTTTTCTCTACTAAATCCTTATTTTCCTTAACTCTTAAGGTTTTGAGTGTGTTTGTTATGTTCACAACTTGGGATGTAGTTTTAATGAACTTGACCCTCGTGCTACTAAATGTGTATTTCTTGGATATTCCCACACACATAAAGGGTATCGTTGCTATGATCCTACCCTTCGTCAGTACTTCACTAATAATGATGTCACTTTTGATGAATCTATTTCGTATTTTTTGGCACTTGCTCAACCTCTGGATCTTGAATTTAACACCCCCGCCTTTTCCCTTATCGTCAGTTCTTCCGCTGCCTATTGTGTTACTACCTACTTCTCCGCTCCTGTCTATGCCCAATGTCTGCGATCATCAACTGAGATGCCCCTACCATCTCCGGATCCTAGTCCCATAGGTATTTCTAATTCTTTACCTATTGCTCTTCGGAAAGGTACTCACTCATATGTTACTAACCATCCTATTGCTGATTTTATTTTTTATGATGCCTTGTCTCCTACCTTCTCTTATTTAACCTCTCAACAGTCTATTATTTGTATCCCTAAGAACTTATAGGGTGCGTTGTCTGATCCAGGTTAGATGAAAACTATGGAAGTGGAGATGGATAACTTACATCATAATGGGACTTAGGAGCTTGTTCCTTTACCACTTGGTAAACAAACTGTTGGTTATCGATGATTGTATACTGTTAAATTTAATTTGGATGGTTTGGTTGAGCACCTCAAAGCTCATCTTGTTGTTAAGGATTTTACTCAAACCTATGGTGTTAATTATGAAGAGACATTTTCTCTGGTTGTCAAAGTTTCTTCAGTCCTTATCTTGATTTCTTTGGCTGTTAATTTTGATTTTTGTTTCAATTAGATGTCAAGAATTCCTTCTTACATGATGATTTGGTGGAGGAGGTCTACATAGAACAGCTACTTGGATTTATTGCTCAGGAAGAGTACTATAAGAGTGTGTGTCGATTAAAGAAATCTCTGTATGGTTTGTAGCAGTCACATAGGGCGTGATTTGGTAAGTTTTTCAGATACAGTTTTAGAGTTTGGTCTTCTTCGATGTCAAATAGACTATTTTGTGTTTCAAAATCAAACTGATGTTGGTTATATTCTATAGATTGTTTATGTGGATGATATTATGACTACTGAAAATGAATCTGAGGGGATTGCCAAGTTAAAAACCTTTCTACAGGACCAATTTCATGCTAAGGACTTGGGAAAACTCAAGTACTTCTTGGATATTGAGTTTACGAGATTTAAGCATGGTATTTGTTTATCCTAGAGGAAATTTGTACTTGACATTCTAGAAAAAGAAAGTTTGTTGAGTGGCAGATCAATTGATGTTCTTATGGATCCAAATCAGAAATTATTAATGAATGATGTTGCACTGTTTAAGAATCCGAGCCGAGATCGTAGGTTGGTTGGGAAGCTCAATTATCTCACCATTACTCGATCGAATATTTCCTATGTGGTTAGTGTAATAAGTCAATTTATGGGATGCTTTAGAGTACCACATTGGGAGGCAGTCACTCGCATTCTTCGATACCTTAAACGTGTTTCTAGTCTTAGGTTGTTGTATCAAGTTAATGAACATCTTAAAGTGGAGGGTTTTGTAGATGTTGATTGAGCTGACTCTCCATCCGATCGCAGATCAACCTCTAGTTACTGTACTTTCGTGGGAGGTAACATTGTCTCATAAAAAAGTAAGAAATAAACTATGGTAGCAAGATCCAGATTTGAGGCTGAGTATAGAGAAATGACACATACAACTATTGAGTTAATGTGGTTACTACACTTTCTTCGGAAAATTAGTTTTCCAGTTCAGTCTCCTTTACAATTATTTTGTGATAATCAGGTAGCTATCCATATCACTGTCAATCTAATATTTCATGAGAGAACCAAACATATTGGGTTGATTCTCATTTTATTCGAGACAAGATAATAGCTGGAAATATTACAACTCCCTTTGTGAGGTCGAAGGATCAACTTGTAGATATATTTACTAAAGCATTGAGTTGTACTCGCCTTACAACCATTTGTTCTAAACTTAGATTATATGATATATATAGTCTAGCTTGAGGGAGAGTGTTAAAATAGCTGGGAATATTACAACTCCCTTTGTGAGGTCGGAGGATCAACTTGCAGATATATTTACTAAAGTATTGAGTCGTACTTGCCTTACAACCATTTGTTCCAAACTTAGATTATATGATATATATAATCCAGCTTGAGGGAGTGTTAAAAATATTAGAGTATTATTATGTGTAAATACTAGGTTGTAATAAATATACCATATAGAGGGTATACTTGTCCTTTGTATGAGTACAAGATAACTATAAATATAAGATGTTTATGAGAGGTAGGTTATGTTTTTTACCACTATCTATTCCATTAATATTGTGTTATGTTAACTCTCTAAACGTAACACTTACCAATGAGCTGTGTGTGCTCATTTAAACATTCATTCACTTTAATGTAAAGCAATCTTCATATAAGTTGCCAAAAAAATTATGATGAAGCAATTGATCTCAAAATAAGGCTTCTATTTAACAAAATAAGTAGAAGCATTTAATTCCTAATTAGTGTTTGATATCAAAACAGTATTCTTATTTTTTAATTGCCAACTTGGAATGTTAGTGATCACATAAGTTGCACAGCCAACTTAAAACAACATTAAGGTACATTCTACCCCATTTTTGCTGAAAACAATGACCTAAATTTTTTATTAATTATTCACCTTTGTGAACTCTTTTCCAGAAAAGATGGCAGAAATCCAACAATTTAAAACCATCTTACGAATGAGTTCAAAGAAAATTGTACTCACAGAAAAAAGAAAGAAAATCATAGCACTAATTGCCTGATATTAGCAAAAGGAATCATCTTTCATGGCAAAACAAAAATAATTTAAAAGAAAATCTCTCTAAGCAATCAGATAGTACAGTGATCCACGGAATTCCCAAAGAAGTTTTACCAATTCCAAGGCTCCCACTTGCTAGAATATTTGCTTTTAAGTTTGCTAGAACACTTGCAAGCTTTTGTGTTGTGTGTTTATGCAAGCAAATGAAGATCAATATGCTAGCACAAAATTTTGGAACAAAACTACATGCAAAATTATGCGAGAGTGAAATTATTATAGAGACAGAGAGTGCAACAGCCTTGCTGGAGAATCCTGATGTAATATGCCCAACAGAATCCTTACAGTTTAGCTACTGAGAAGCGATATAAGTATATGATAACCAGTGAAAGAATAAATATGAAAAGGAGCAAAGCATGCAATTTACTAAAGAGTTCAAACAACAAATAGATGACCAGTCAGACCAATTGAATCAGTACCTGTTCTTTCATCTTGTCCTGAAAGGTTGAGGGCAACATGTTGGGAAATAACTTCAGGAATACCGGCAGCAAGAATTCCATGAAAGGAACTATAATAAATACTGCAAAAGGAACCAGCCTGAAAATATCAGCCGTGGTTCGTGTAAGCTGTTGCCTCTCCCTCCTAGAGAGACTCTTCCCACCAGCAAGTTTTAGCAGCAATCTTGAACTGATCCTCACATCAGCCCACAGAAGCTTAAAGCCCAACCAGTAATGTTGCAAAGTTGATACAACTTCATGCTTCCAATGAAGAAGTTTCCGTGCCCAGTCTTCCCTGAAAGAAGAATATATCACAAAGCAATATACAGCAATAAATGTGACATGATGGTTTAGTTCAAAACAAATTGATCAAACAGACAAAAATTCTGACTTGCTCATAGAAGCTACAGCCCTCAAAGCTGGACCAATCCCAAAAAATGTGGCCCATACTCTTTGTAGAAGAGATTTAGCAACTTTTTGAGACTCCTGTGAGCGTTTCACTTTTGCTTTGGCCTTTGCCGTACTCAGACCTTCAACTGCCTGATCACATTCCTCCGGAGATGCTTCCTTTCTCCTTTTAGCAACCAAATCCTCATTTCCCTCATCGTCGCTACCCAAATCAGGTCGACCTGCAGTGGCTGTGGAAGCATAACGTATGGCTTGTGACATCAACCTGACCTCCATGGGGGAAACAAACTGCAATCTTCCATTCCCATAACCAGATATCTTAATTCCACAATATCCACGCCTAAAGAGTGCAAGTGCTGAAAATTTGAGTACTTCCTCATTTGCCAGTAAAACTCCAGCACCATCTTTTTTGTTATCTAGATCGTGATTTCCAACAGGACTTTTACTGTGAAACTCTGAATACTGAGTAGATTGCCCATGACACAAATTTTGGAAACATTGAATCGATCGAGCAGAGAAATTCAGATAATCAGAAATAGATTTCCTCCTCCTCAAGATTGCTCTAGAAGCCATTATCAAGGTTTACGTCCTTCACAAAGAGAACGGCAGTCATATTCCTCAAGCACCAACTTACTACCAATCACAAGGTACCAACACATAAAAAAACATGACTAAACAAAACTGCAACCCCAAAAAGGAGCCAATTTTCATTACTCAACCGTTTCTCTTTTTTGCATTCATTATTCCAAATTGCAAATGGAAGATTACATGTTCCAAAAAAATTTGATTTAACAAATTTCACAACAGTAGCTTAAACATTTGCTGACTCAAATTAGTATTATAACTTATGAAACAGAATATGGATAATCAAAACTGATACTAAACAAATAATCACATCACTAAAAACTTTAAGGGACAAAAATATAGGTAAATCCATCCATTTCTGGACAATATCAATGATTTAGTTGATCTCAAAACAAGCAAAAAGTATAGATACTAATACTAATACAAACAAACATTAGGCTTCTTTTTACGAATAACAAAGGAACTGGATTCCAAAATATACTTGAGGATTCACAGACTTCCTCGGTATTAATATATATTTATTTAATTTATTAAGCAAGAAAATGGTAAGGATAATCGAGAAGAATCGAAAGGAGTCATTTACTTGATCTCCAAACAAACTAAAATAGAAGTACTAATGCTAGCAAAAACAAACACTAACACTACACTTCTTTTTACCAATAACAAAGACAACGCCTTCCAAAACAAACTTGAGGACGCAAAAGACTTTCAGGGAATAAATATACATTTATCTAATTTATTAAGCAAGAAAGTGTTAAGGATCATAGAGAAGAATCAAAAAAGATATTCACAAGCTCATTGGCAACTAATAACAAACATTTCATGTGCAGCACTGAGAAGACTATCTCAGCCTACTTTTTGACAGATAGAATGACACAATCTCAGCAAAAAAAAATCCTCGGAATAGACATGCACTTTCAACTCAAATTCAGAGTTATGGTAAACCATCACGGGGAAATAACATCTAAAAAAATCAAGCTATAAACCAGGTAATTAAAAACTTTGGCAACTCAAAAACTTAACAAATACGTATTATCTGTATGCACACTCAGAAGCAGAACATAAGAATGTATAAACACATGAAATACAGAACTAAAATTGACTGTCAACATAAACTTGTGTCCCAAGAAAAGGCAAAAACTCACTGTAATTGAAAAGAAAAGGAACTAAGCTAGGTAAAACCCTATTCGTATCATGTTGTAACACAGAACATTTCAATTGGATGATAGAGTTTGTAACTACTCACAGTTCCTCAGAGGACTGCGCAGTCGGCGTACGGTCAAACGACTAATGTAAGAGAATGAAACATATGTGTAGAGAGAGATAGAGCGTTGGTTGGGACTGAGTTAAGGTCGCAAACCATACACAAGAAAAAGGAAGGATCACAGAACGTTTAGGGAGAGAGCAGATGAAGCATGAACGTGGATTTTGGGAAAATATAGTAGGCCATACGAGGAGGAGGAAAAAATATTGGGTGTTCGTCCCTACACCAAATCACACAAATTAATTATTTATTTTTTTTTTTTTTACAAAGATAAGTGACAATTATATTTATTAGACATCTATAATTTTTTATTGGTGATACGTGACACTCCTATGTGGTGTGTGGTCAGCTCCCAATATTTTCTCATATGAGGAGTTGGTACTCGTTGCATAATTCAAACAGTTGATCTTGTATAATATTTATTTAATCACGGTTACTAATGTACCTATGAGTCTCGATATTTATTAAGATTCAAAATTAATTCTAGGGTTGCATCAATTTTTATGTCCAAATAATATTTTTTTTATTTGAAGGCAAACAACTTTAATTCTATTTTTTTTATCCCAAATTTTCAAGAAATTAATATTATTTTTGTTGAGGAATTATTAGGACAATCTATAAAATAAGATAGAAGAATTTTTACCATAAAACTTAATTTTAGTCTAAATTGCTTGGATCAAACAATTTATCTTATAACTTATATTTTAACCACAACAAATATTTTAACAACATTTACATTAAAAAATTTAACCACACTTACATTTTATTGATAACAAATCTATTCACTTATATTTTTTCAATAAGCAATTGTTTATGAGTTTTGCTCATTTTCTAAATCATAGATCACACTAATTTAGAAAAAAAAAATCTTGAATTAGATGAAACCATATTAAGAAAAATAAAAAAAAATTATTTAAAAATTCAATACCTTTACCCTTCAAAAAAAAAATCAGATTATGTCATACACCCAAGTATAAGTATTCAAATTGCAATATTTCTCAATTTAAGTCCTAGGTCAAACCCACAGGAAGCTAACTGTTAGGATTCAAAACATAAATGGTAAAATTGTTGTGGATGTAATGTGCAATGGAATAGCTTGTGGTGTAAGCTTAGAACTATCAAATAAATACCTAACTAAACTTTGAAAGACAATGATAAAAGAAACTCTTCAATTCGGGGATCCAATATACATTATATTGTTTGTTTATGAAAATATCATCTTACAACAATTAACTTCCATTTTACTAGAAAGTTAACCGGTAGGTTTGATGTATATTGAACCATAACACATCAATTGATTAAGCTAGCCGAAAGATATATGTACCATGCATTAATCAAATAACCTTAGTAAACCCGAAAGTGAACCATTCAAAATGTTAACTCTGGTTATTTAATCGACAGGTTTATGATTTAATGATGACGGAGTTCTGGATTATGTATTGAATCAAAAGCATTGGTTATGACAAGATTTAACCCGTCTATAACCAATCTTCCGACTATTACATAAAGCCCTACGTACATCACGGTATCATGCATAAAGTATGTAATAATTATAGATAGTATGGTACAGTGCATTAGGTTTTGCTCGGTGTTCATAACCATGAGCATATGATAAATATAACCATTCATCAATTAAGGGAGATATAAACATTAAAGAATAAGTAAAACATCGACATTTCCATAACGTAAACAATATTACACACGCATTCACCCTTCACCAAAGAGTATAAACGGACTACTCACGCCTCATTGCTATAGACAAGCAAAAGAAATGAGGTAATCTCATTACAGTTGAAAACAAAATACAACACGTCCTTCCTCGAGGAATAGCTAAAACATTGTCACTCTTATGACCAGCTAGGGCACAAAAGTGGGAGATGTTCAACCTTCCAAGTAGAAAGGATAAATAGAAATATCGAAGTTGAGAAATTTTTGGTTGGGGAAGTGATTCCGGCAAGGCTTCGCTCTTCCTTTCTTTCTCTCTTTCCTTCCCTCTAGCACTGAACTAAACTCTCTTGGATTTCCCCCCCCCCCAAAAAAAAAATAAGCTGGGAGGGGCTATTTATAGGCACCGGTAGGAGGCTTTAAGGCTGCAAAAACCCTGCCTGGCCAATAGGAGGACTTTGTTACTTAATTGGACCAATAGGAGAAGATAGAGAGTTTAGGTGGTTTAAGGACCATCTGGATGCCGCCGCCACCACCGTTCGGACGATGGCATTCCTCTGGATTTTGTAGCCTTGGAAACCTCCACGCTTGACTTTCTATTTTGATAATTGCACTTGTCTCCCCTTCCTTATTCAGCTTGTACATTGAATCCTCCTAAATTTTTGTATTTTTGCTCAAAACCCTACAAATTGTCCAATCTACGCATTAACCCTAATACTATATAATTAACCTAATTTAAGAACACAATGAACTTTAAAACCTAATTCGTTTACATATTAATCAGTGTACATATGAATTATGGCATAAGGATAGAAATAGAGAAGATAGGGTGATATGACAGACCCGTTAGGGGTGTAACTCGAGCAGATTAGGTGGGTCAACCCTAACCCAACCCTAGGTATATAATATTCAACCTTAACCCAACTTTAACCCAGTGTACTCAACTTGAGTCCTGTCCAAGTTGAATTCGGACGGACTCGAGTTGAATTCGGGTTACTTAATTTTGGCTATGGGCTAATTTCAGGTTTAAATTCGAGTTACTTAATTTATAACATAACACAAGAAATTAAACCAAAAGGTCCAAAATACCATAGCATAGTCACTGCCCCACTACCCATTGCCACCACACCACAGCCACAATAACCACAATAAAGGGAGGCACATATCTAAGAGTGAGGCTTAGATCGACAGAGTTCCTCTGAGGTCTTTGTTGAGGTCTTCACAAATTGAAGAGAAAGGCTGAGGGATGAAGTGAGGGAGGGAGGCTGAGAGAACGAAAAAAAGGGAGATTGGGAGAACGAGAGAAAGAGAGACAGAGAATGAGAAAGAACGAGAGAGGCAGAGGTGGAGCTGCATTAAGGATTTGGTAGAGGCAGAGGCGCATGAAGGAACCCTAGTTGTCTTGTTATGTGCTTTATACATATATATATAATTTTTTTTAAATTTGTTGGATTTAGGTTGAACCCAATAACCCGAGGCCTCAACCTAGGTGTTGTCCGAATTCATTTTGAGTTAGAGTTTTTGAACCCAAACCCAACCCAAAATTTTAAAACCTCAACCCAATCCGTACTTTTTTTGGGTTAAGCTCGGGTTGGCCAGCCCAAGTTGCACCCCTAAGACCCGATTGGGGTTTATTTCAACCTACAAGAATGCTATTTTTTTTTATCTTTTGTGAAGTTAAAATGAGAGAGAGAGAGAGAGAGAGAGTCATGACCATCTTTATTTTTAGTGTGCAGGTGTTTTTATATAGGACTTGACTACCGTACTGGAAAAAAATTGATATTGTACTTTTAAAATTTATTACTTTAATTGTTCATTTTACAATAAAAAAAATATTATCACTTTAGTGGATAATTTATAACATTTGTGAGTGTTTTTATCACTATGGTGGTAAATATTTTTACCACTTTTGTGATACTTGTGATTGATTCTAAAATGATAAAAACACCCACAAAAGTTATAAATGTCGATAACGCCTTTTATATATACTAGCAAAGCACCACGTGCATTGCACGTGAATAGATTTTATACACAAAAATTAAGAAAATGTTAGAACCCA